CCCCCCCGGTGACACCGACCGAGGCTGGCGGCCTTCGCATGTCCATTGTCCCCTTTCGTCAATGGGCTCCACGACTGGACGCCCCCCCATTGACGCTCTGCTCCGCGACTCCGACTCATACCACCTCATTTGGATCGCCGAGGGCCAAGCGTATGCGTGTTGTCATAGCTTCAGAAGATCCAAGCGGCGGGCCAAAAGGAGAGAGCCAGCAGGAGGAGGAGAAGGGCAGCACACACACACACACACACATACACACGCACACGCAGGGAGCTGGGCTGATCTGAGGGGAGTGGAGTGGAGGGGAGTGACAGAATAAGGCAGCAGAAGAGGATCTGATGTGAGAACTCCAACGCCGACAACGGAAGCGAGCAGAAGAGGAGACAAGCAGTTTATTTGTGATTTTGGATGGAACACTAAAACGCCGGGGATTAAATAAATGTCAGTCACGCAGCAAAAGTTGCGTGATACAGGTAACACGACTGCCTGTACGTGTGCATGTGCATGTGCATGTATGTATATGTGTGTGTGTGTGTGTGTTCGCATGTGTGCGTGTGGCGGTGATCAAGTGAGTGGGGATTGGAGTATAGATTGAGGTTAATAAAAGACTGCGAGAACGAGAATGGAGGAACGGCACGAGCCGGCCGAGACACGAAAGTAAGTGGAAAGGATGCATCACTTGGCCAAACGGTTCCAGTCTCTGTTCGGCCTTCATTCTCTCTCCTTCGCCTCTGTCTCTGCCTCTGCCTCTGCCTCTGCCCATGGGCTCGTCTCTCCCTGCCCTCTCGTCTGGCTCCACATCCGAAATGCATTGAAATGTTGATGAGATTCCTCCGTCTTCACTTTTGTGCACCTTTTCATTATCCTCCTTATTGGAATGGGCCCCGTGAGCTCATCACCAGCGCAAAGACGAGGCCGTCTCTCCGAGATGGTCAGCTCTGCTGACTTGCTGTATCGCCAGTCACTCGGTATCTTCGGGCATGAAGGCTTCATCCAGCCGGACAACTGTCTCAACCTCGTGTCGAATGATCCTCGTTCCTTACTCGCACAGGATTGTGATCGAAGCCGCTTCTTATGGTCCGAAGGCGAAAAACTACTTTTGGGTTTATGAGTAGGCTTTCAAGGCTACCAAACATTTGTTGGGATTACTTCCATTTCGAGTAGAAGTGTTGGGTGAAAAGATTCGAAGTTCGGTTCCACCAGTTTTTTTGACTCGCAAGCCTGAATTTTGTTGAGACGATGTTACCTCGCTCTGATGATGTCCGTCACATGACGCCTCAGCACGTGTTCACCGGAATCGAAGGAGATTGCCTTGGAAACAGCGTCAGCATGAATCTTCCAGTAAATCCAATCGACAGCTGGTGGAGAGGAATTCGCCGTCGTCTTCTGGTGCAACCGAACTTCGAATATCTTCATCCAACACTTCTACTCCAAATGGAAGTAATCCCAACAATTATG